AAGAGAAACTAGGGGAGACCACGGATCCTGAGACGAACCTCGGTGACTTCCCAGTCTATCCTATGGTTTGGCTTCAGTTTTGAGAAGAAATTATTCAAGTGTTTCATCCTGTCAATTTTATTTAATTAGGGCTTATACTTGCGTGATATTGTCACACAAGTCGCCTAGAAAATATGAGGATTTATGTTGTATCGGACGACAACCTCGGAACCTAGAACGAGTTAGGGCTTAAATTGCACAGTTAAATTGTTAGGGCTTAAATTGTACAGTCTAACTGTGCAAAGACCTAACAGATAAAGTGAGGATTTATGTTGCGCTAGGCAGACTACCTCGAAATCCTATGACTTGTTTAATTTTTTAATTTCTAGGAAATGAATGATTTAGCAGGGGAAGACATGTTCTGCTGTTGAAGATAGTCGTGCTGCCCATTGCGCTAGTTCCAAGCTCATCGTCGTGACGAGTTTAAGTTTTCTAGGGTGTCCAGTTATGATGTCAAATCAAACGACCCTATGGTAATAGTCCTCTAAACGTCATATATAAAAAGAAGACATGCTCAAAGCTATATAAAATAAAATGTGCAATACAGGACAAACAGTAGGATGCATGTAGAACAGTAGCAGATAAAAATAGAAATAATATAACATGCTTTACAGAAAGAACAGTAGCAGGTAGAAACATGACAAATATAACATGCTGTACAGAAAGAACAGTAGCAGATAGAAACATGACAAGTATAACATGTTGTACAGAAAGAACAGTAGCAGGTAGAAATAGAAAAATGAAGTGCTGTAAAATGTAAAACAAACATGTACGCCCGTGAGACCCGCTGTTCCTTAAGTTAGCAAGTCTAAACGCATCGTAAAAAGCGAAGTTTGGAAGAAACGTCGTCCATTGTAAAAAATGAAGTCTGGAAGAAACGTCATCCAGGAAATCCGAAGAAAAGTGTAACAACGACTTATGACAGAAAACTCGAGAAAATCAACGAGAAAAGACTAGAAAAAGAATCCTAAAAAATCTTGGAGAAATCCCAAAAGAAATGAAAAGTAACACGAGTGCTCTGTCCCAAAGCTTCGATAAAACAAAAAAAAAAGTTCGAGTGAGGGGGACCGCAAGCACTCGTATGGGGCTAGACTCAGATATATATTTATACTCGAGGGTCCGCGAAGGCTACTCGAGGTCACCCGAATGTATAGAACCCGCCACTCGTCTAGAAGTGTGTCTTGAACCTCACCTAG